CTCATTAAGTTCAGAAGCACTCAGCTGACCAGGAATGTAAAGGTGATGCAGCATCTGCAGTGAGTGGCCCTATCCAGGGTCAGAGGGGGCCTGCTGTGTGCATACACCCGACCGGAGGCGCAGGGCCACAGAGAACCTGTCTCACAGTGCAAACTGCAAATCCCGTTTGACTTCTATACTAATGTGTCGGCATGGATCTGGTGTGTGCGTGTCTGCAACATTTATGTGTATTTTTCCATGTGTTCTTTAGCTTGTGTTAAGTTATTCACAAAACATTAGGTAGCAGCTGCTATTTCCATTAGGTGTATGTGTTAGATTCTCACTGGGGCCATTACAAGGGGATCAAGGGACAGTGACAGGTATTTTCAGGGGCTGCAAACTTCCCCAGAGAAGCCATACTTCCCTCAGCCAAGAAGGTGGTGGGGGACCCGCAGGCAGGAATCCTCACGGGTGCAGCCGGGACTCTCCTTGGCCCCTGGTGGCTAAATGCCACTGCAGATGTTCTCAGGGGAGCCCAGTGTTCTGGGGGGACATCACATCCACTCTGGCCCTAAGAGCAACCTCGGGGGCCCCCCCGACACAGTGTGGAAACAGCATGAACGCTTCCTTTAGTCGCTGTGCTGCCCCTCCCAGCTTGAGTATAGACTGTTCTCTGCTACCCTGGAGACAGACTTCTTGTTGTTCAGTCACTAAGTCCTGTCTGACTCTTCATGACCCCATGGACCGCAGCACTCCAGGCTTCCCTGTCCTTCACCATCTCCCGGAGCTTACTCAAACTCATGTCCATTGAGTCGGTGATGCCATCCAACTGTCTCATTCTCTGCCATCCCCTTCTCCTCCTGCCCTCAATCTTTCCCATCATCAGGGTCTTTTCTAATGAGTCAACTCTTCACATCATGGGGCCAAAGTATTGGAGCTTCAGCTTCAGCACCAGTCCTGCCAAGGAGCCCCCTTTTAATTAATTTGTTAGGAAAATGTGTTGTCCCACTGCATTTTTACAAAGAAATAACTGTATAAATTCACATTATCACCCTGTGGCAAACGCATTCTAAGTTGAGAAGATGTGATAGTGGATTTTCCTGTGACCGTGGAGATAAACTGCAACACTGAAAATAAGACATCCAGACAGGAAGGCAGTTTGGTTGCTTTGTCAGATTTCCAGTCTCAGTTCATCCTTTTTAGCAGGTGAAGGGAGTCCCCGGAGGTTGAGCGGGACGTGGAGGTGAGCTGTTCTGGACGTGGGCTTTGTCGCGTGAAGGGCCTCGGCCCGGCTTCCTGGCGTGTTTGTTGTGCGACAGCATGACAGTCCTCGCGCACGTGTCCTCGCTCCTGGGAGGTGCATGCGGCCCGGAAGCCCACACGTCTGCATTTCTGCTGCTGCTGTGCGCTCACCTCCACGCTGTGAACATAAACACAACTGTGACAGTGTCACTTTGAAATCTGTGCTCCTGGCTTTCTCGGTCACCTGCACTGCCACCGCCAGGCGCCGGGAGGCAGGGGGCGTTTCTTCAGAATCAGTTTTCTGCTTAAGAGAAGCAACGAGGACCACCACCACCCTCCACTGTAGGATGAGGTCTGGGTGCTCAGCCACAGTCACGGTGCAGAGCTGGGGAGCAGGGGACCACCTGCTCTTGGCGGGGTCTGCAGACACGGTGTCGAAGGATAAAGACCTTCCTTCATAAATGAGCTGTGCTCCCTGCGTTCCCATGAAGACGCCGCCAGCTCCCAGTGTTTAACGTGAAAAGCTGCCAGTAAGCTTGCTTCTCGCCCTTCCCCATCAGTTCACGTGTAGATACTGTGCTGATTCCCTTGTCATAGCGATGTTGTGAGGGGTGGAGAAAAGGTCACTGAGAAAGAAGCAACACGTGATATGGGAGAGGTGTGGGGGAGCAGTGAACACAGTCTGGACGGCCAGCCGTGTCCCGGGTCAGGAGGGCAGGCCTCAGCCTTACCCCACACAGGGAAGGAGGAGCCGTTATGGAAAGACCTGGCCACCTGTGTCCCTTCCCGTCACAGGGGAGCCGGGGGGGGGGCCCACCGGAAACATGAGGTGGTGGCCTCACTTGGGTTTATTTCTGAGCTGGTCATCTGCGTGGTGGGGCCTTCCTGAGCCCGGACAACATCCAGCAGCACCCCCGCCTCTCCCCTTCCCCATCGTGACCACCAGGAGTGTCCCTAGATGTCGCCAAGGTCCCCTGGGAGAGAGGGGCGCAGGTTCTCTGGGCTGAGCACCGCTGGCTGACGCTGCAGAGGGTCTGAGATTCCCCAGACGGGGATGGGGGGGCAGGGACTTGTCCAGGGCCCCCATGGTCCCCGAGAGGGTACAGCCAGCCAGCCTTCCCCAGGCAAGCAGCAGTCTGGGGGCAGAACAGTGCGAGACCCCACCCCCTGCCCGCTGTCCCCTGCACCAGCTCTGCTCAGCTGATCCGTGAGACACAGGACATCCCTGGTTCCCGAAACCCCAGCCCCCCAGTGCTGCTGAGTCAGCGAGTCAGGACCCGGCTGAAGGGAGCTGGCGCTCTTGTCCCCAGGGCCAGCAGGCACTCGCAACCCCTCCTGCGCCTCAGAGCCTAACTCTCCCCAAAGGGTCCTGACGATGTCCAGCCTCAGCTTGCGGCACCCAGACCCTCGATCACTCCAGATCCCAGGGTCTCTTCTCCACCACCAGCAATCGCAGTGAAGCCTGAGCTGCTCTCTTATCTTACTGAGAAGCCCAGATACATTCATAGGTTTTTTTTTCTCTGTGGCCAGAAACAACCTCCTTGAAAAAGGTGGGTTTGCTGTGCTTTTTGCATTTTCCTTCTTCTGGAACAGTCCCTCTGTTCTGCAGTAACTAGCCCAGGGAGGGGCTTCCCGGATGGATCAGCGGTAACGAACCCACCTGCCAAGCAGGAGATGCAGGTTCAATCCCTGGGTTGGGAAGATCCCCTGGAGGAGGGGATCCCCGCTCCGATATTCCTGCCTGAGAATCCCATGGACAGAGGGGCCCATCCTGACTCCTAGGAGCTTGTATCCTCAGTGACCTTGGCCCCATGGTGATGATGCTGGGGTTTCAGCAAGCTCACTAAGTCCTGGGTTTGCTCCAAGGAGGCTTGCAGGGGCACGACTGTAGGTGGGTGCAGGGGGTTGAGGGGCTCTGGTGAACCGTCTAGGGGTCCCTGAAGCTTTGCGAGCTCCACAGGAACAGGACTGACTGCAGGGCCTGCGCAAGAGTTACCACAGGGCTGGAGGGGACGCACCACAGTTGACTCTGACCAGATGGACAGAGGTCTTCTTAAACCGAAGGATGTTAGCCACTTGAGCGCCATGGGTGGACAGGCCTGGTGAGGAGAGTGAATGTGCCTTTAAGAAGCCGCTTCAGGCAGAAGGGCCCTGCCCTGTGAGGTAAGGAGCCCCCCACCTCGGTGGAGAGGCCCCCCTGCTGCTGGCGACACACCCTCTGGGCAGAAGCTTCACACTCACTTCACAGTCAGCTAGTTGTCAGTGCTGGAGGTCGGAAGCTTGGGAATGCTTTCTCAACATCAGAATCTCCCAGGATAAAAACCTGGAATAAAGTCAGTTTTCAATAATTTTCCTTTTGGGGCTGATGAGCATTAGGGGGCAAGTCTTTAAAAAGACTTATTTTAGAGGTTTCTCTGTTGTAGACACTGTTCAGAGTCCATTTTTCTAATAGCCTTCTTCCTACCTTTGTTCTCTACCCAACGTGCCTCTTTCCCATTCGCCCTTTTGAAAATGTGTGCATTTTATAAATTTTCATGTGCGGTTTTTATGCCTTTAAACTCAGATCCTCCTGACGTGATAAACTCACTCTGTTTTATTTGTTGATATCCATCTGGGTGACACTTGATGCTTTATTTCTTCGGCGGATCCACTCACACAGATTTAAAAGTCACTGGTGGGGCAGCTGCGGCTTGGGAGTGCTGGCTGGAGTCCCCACAGGCGGGAGAGGAGTTGGCCGTCTCCACGGGCCACAGAGCACTAACTCCTGGCCTGGGTCTACAGGCTCTTAAAGCAGAGCCGCCCCGTCTGCCCCCGGGGAGGGGGCCACCCCATGAGCCGCCCACCGGCCTGTCTGGTCCCCGAGCTAACTGCCCTTGCTCACCTGCCGCCGGTGTGGGTGCTGAGTTTGCTGATGATGAGGCTCCCCCCACGGGTTCCAGCCAGTTCTTCCCTCCAGGGGCAGCAGCACAGCCGGCCTCGGTGGGAACTCCACTCCCATCAGAGCAGCTGTGAGGTTTTCCTGCCGTGAGAATCAGGACCACCCGGGCCCAGCACATACAGCTGGTGAGTCTGGACGCCTCCTCAGGGGCGTTCAGTACCGTTTCAGGTCCAGCTGCGCTTGTTCCCTTCAGTGGATTTCCAGCCCGTGGCCTGGGTGGAGCTGCGGCGGGGGCACAGGGCGCAGGGGTGAACAGGGTGGATGTGGAGACCCGGCTCCCTGCTCCGCCGGCCCCACGGTTTATACCCAGCGAGCCTGCGCTCGCAGGGAGCAGCCAGCCTGCCGACCTGTGTGTCTTCTCTGTGATGAAAATAATGCCTGTTCACCATAAGTGTTTGTGGAGCGCACAGAGAGCCTTCCGCCACGCCGTCGCTTATGATGGTCGTCGTTAGAGTGTGCTTCTAACCTCTCTTCCTTCCCAGGTTTTCTGTGCAAACACAGTCCATCTTGGCCTGGAGAGAACCGCGCAGGCCCTATGGTTCTAGCTCCGAGTATAGAACGAACCCCTCTCCTGGTGCCTGACCTGCATGAAGACGGTGGCCTGCCCTCTGTCCTGCTGAGTCAGAAGTCACCTATTCTGCCTGATTTGGGGGTGTTTTCATAACTTTTCACTATTAAACACACGTCTGCGAAGATGGTCTCTGAACACAAAGCTTCCCCCACACTCTGCGTCCTCTCAGGCTGGACGCCAGGGGAGCTGTGCCTGACGGCTGGCGGGTGCTGGGCGGGAGAGCAGGCTCGGTGGGTGGCACCCCGCTGACCGGCTGTGTCCCCCTCGCAGGCGTCTCCTACGCCAGCTACAAGAAGACGCCGCCGCCCGTGCCCCCCCGCACCACCTCCAAGCCCTTGATCTCGGTGACAGCGCAGAGCAGCACGGAGTCCACGCAGGACGCCTACCAGGACAGCCGAGCCCAGAGGGTGGCCGCCTGGCCCCCGGACAGCCGCGGCCTCTACAACTCCACGGACAGTCTGGACAGCACCAAGGCCATGAGCTTGGCCCTAGAGACGGCCGCGGCCCAGCGCCATGCTTCCGAGGGCCAGGGAGGCACCACACGGACCGGCGACAAGGCCATCCTGGCATCCAAGGCCGAGGAGTTCCTCAAGAGCCAGCGCTCCTCCATTGGGGTCCAGGTACCTACCCACGTGCACGCCCTCCCCCCAGTGACATGGACCGGGTCCTCGTGGGGACCCTGTAGGCACCCAGAGTCTCTGAGCCCCAGCTTTCAGGAGAAGCCAGTGGCAGGTGCAGCGGGCAGAGGACCCCTAGGCATTTCCAGGGGCAGCCGGCAGCATGGAGAGTGTGGAGATAGGTTATTCTGATGCATAAAAAGGAGGGTTTGGGGTTGAAACCCGATCTTTCTAAAGCTTTTTAGTCTTTTGGGCTTTGGGACCAAAAGTGAAGGACTGGGAGGCTTTTTGCAGGAAACAGGAGCACATCCGCTCAGGGGCCCCAAAAGTCCCCACGCCAACCCCTGGGTACCCACGGATTATTCTTCTCATTGTCTTCTGATCACCGAGAGCCAAAACAGCTGCCCCTGTGCCGACACCCACCACCAAGTCCACTCGATTTCCAGGAGGGGAGGGACACAGCACCACCCAGCTCCCACTCAGGAGTGGGGCCCAGGACTGGCCTCTTGGGGACCACCTGTCTGGTGGCCCCAAGCCCAGGCAGGGTCAGCAGCCAGGCAGGTCCTCGACAAGTCCGGACACCTCCGTCAGCCTGAGTCCTGTGGGGTGCTTTAAAAACCCTAGGCCTCCCTTGCGCCACGGAGGAGGGCCCACGCATCGGCAGGCATGAAGGGGGAGCCTTGTCTCGGGCGTTATGGGGCCGGGGGCGGCAGGCTGCGAGCTGACCGCTTGGCGGGTCGCCTGAACCCGGTCTCCACACTGTGGCTTCGTTGTTTTGTTTAGGATTCTGAATTCCCAGAGCATCAGCCATACCCAAGGTCAGATGTAAGTACCAAAATACGCCCCCGAGCCAAGTACGCATGAATTTTATTTCCTCCCTTTCCGGGTTATTCATCCTCCGCTCTCGTCGCCTCTCTGTCCTCATCTATATGCCAGGCTCTATGCTAGGTGCTCCCGTTGTCGCAGGGACCCTTGCATCCCCGGAGACGCAGTCAGCCCCCTCCTGAGGCCACAGCTGGGGCTCTGAGCGCCAGTGATCCCCGCAGCCACAGCCGTCTGGGCCAAGGTGCTGGCCCAGGTGCCTGCTGCCCTCAGGGTCTCTGCCTTTACAGTCACGTCTGCCGAGGAGACCTGTGAGGCCCCCAGGCTAAGAAGGTCACCTCCCTGGGAGCCTGTGACCCTGGTTTCCCACCTGCCACCTTCCACAGGCTTCCTCTGGGATGCCCGCTGAGCCGCAAACAGGGCTGGAGGGTCAGGTTCCCATTTCTCTGAAAACAGTGGGAACATTCCAGACAATCAGATGCTTTCAGATAGTCCCAGAAGCCCACAGACCTGCCTTATCCCCCTCCGCGTCCAGTCACCCCCAGGAGCCGCTGACACCCTGCCGACTCCACACCCCATCTGCTTCCAGCTGCGGAGCTTCGCCCCATGGCCCCCCTTCCACAAGCCCCTGCAGACCCCCAGCTGCGTGTCGCAGGCGGCGGGCGCACCTGCCCCTCTCGGTACCCAGCGCCTAGCACAGCGCCTGGCACATAGCAAGCTCCTGGTCAGTGTCGGTGGGCGAGCGTGGGCGAGTGTGGGCGAGCGTGTGAGTGCAGGGGCTTGCTGTCCTCCTGGCGGCAAAACAGTCACAGGACGACTGAGCGTGTCAGCTCGGGTGGCCCAGTGGGATGAGCTGGAAGCCAAAGAAAACGTGACGCAAGGAACTCGAGCGACAGAGGAGGCGGGGCGCCATCCGGGAGCAGGGGGCGGTCGAGCTGATGGAAGGACCACTGCACACGCCTAGAGAGCTCCCGGGAAGTGCTGGAGGATGTCGAGGGCTCAGGGCTCAGAGCAGAGCGGTGCAGAGAGCGCGGCCGGGGGCCGGCTTGGGGACCCACGTGGATGCACCGAGTCCGCGCCCAGCACCCCGGGCTCCCCCCGTCCTCACGGGAGCCCCACCTGCCCACAGGGGCCACGTCCAGTCCGGAACGGGGACCCCGAGGCTGGGGGCCAGTGATGGGAGGGGGGACCCCAGCGCACAGAGGGGGATGACTTGAGGGCATGCCTTGCCCCCCACGAGCCTGCTCTGGCTCACCCACGACACCACGTGGAGGACAGCTGGCCCTGCCCGTCACCCTGTCCTCAGCCTGCAGCGAGGGCGGCGGGTGTCCCAGTGTCCGTCTGGCACTGCAGGGACAGTTCCCGCTGGGCCGCCGCCCAACCTCCCAGGACACAGCGTCCGGGATACCTTTCATTTTACAAACACCGTTCTTCCCACCGAGCAGGGCCCCCTCCTGCCTGCACCCTCCCTGGAGCCCAGGCCCAGGACAGGGGCTGATGTGTGGGGTCCTCAGCTGAGCCCACAACATCCTGCCCCAGGCCCAGAGGGTCGGGCTGCACCCAGGCCTCCTGGTGACCTGCCCTCTCACCTGGACACCACATCTGGCCCTACCTCATTTCCTCACAGTGACGGTGACACCAAACGATTTTCTTTGTGTTCATTTTGTTTTTATCTGTGATTTGTCTGTTGTTGCAGGGTTTCTACATTTGTTTTGTTTGTGTGTGTGTGTGTGTGTGTGTGTTCCCAGGTCCTGTAATGTGGTCTGATGTCCAGGGGTCCTTCCATCCTGTCTGCCTCAGTCTTCCCATCTCTTAAATGGGAGTGATGCCCACTCTGTGATGTCATAGGTGGTCACTGGGTTTAAATGTCCTCCCTGAGGCTAACCCAGGAGTCCTGGGCAGGTTACATTCCCCCGAGCCCCCCATCTTCCTGCCTGCTTCTGCTGGGGCTTCCAGCATCTCACAGGGCAGGGGAGGCAGTTCACCTCTAACTATTGGACTCACAGTAGGTCACCAAGAAAAATGTGGGGACTCCATGTGGGAGCAACTCACCCACTTTGCTGTAAGGGCTTTGAAGGCAGAGTCTAAAATGAGCTTCTTTAGAGCAAAAACCAGAGATCAGAGCTCAGCCGACATTCTGCTGACAGCCTCCTGCTTTCTGGTCCCTCCAGCTGTGGGTGATCAGCCATGACTTTCTGAAAATCTGGGCCATACACATGTGCACTCACATGTCACACATGTGCTGCACACATGCACACTCTCACATGTGCATCCTCGTGTACACACACGAGCATGCACACACATGCACCCCACGTGTGTGTTCACAGGTACACGTGTGTGCTCACATACATATACACTCTCATGCACACATGAGCATGCACACACAGAGGTGTGTGCTTACATGTACACATGTGTACTCACACATGTGTGCTCTCGTGTACACACATGTATGTGCACATGCATGCCCACAGAAGTGAGCTCATGCACATGCATATGCACTCATGTTCACCCCATATACACACATGTGCATGCACACACATGCATGCCCACAGAAGTGAGCTCATGTGTATACATATGCACACTCACATGTGCACTCTCATATACACACATGTGCATGCACACACATGCATGCCCACAGAAGTGAGCTCATGTGTATACATATGCACACTCACATGTGCACTCTCATATACACACATGTGCATGCACATACATGCACGTACCACAGATGTGCACTCACATGTACAGATATACATGCTCTCACATTTGCACCCTCATGTACATGCATGTGCATGCACACACATGTGCATGCACACACAGGCATGCCCACAGATGTGCACTCAGGTGTACCCATGTGCACACGTCCATGTTTGCACTCTCATGTACACACATATGCATGCACACAAATGCACGGCCACAGGTGTGCACTCACATGTACACGTGCACACTCATACACATGCACTCTCATGCACCCTTCCCCCGCTCTTCATGGCCCATGGCTCAGTGTCAACCCCTCTGTCATGGCCCGGGGACAGGAGGCGAGTGCTCCAGGAGCCCAGCGCCCACCACTCACGTGGCAACAGGGAGGATCCGTCCCCATTCACCAGCAGTCACCTCCAGTCAGCACCTGCTTCAGAGAGGTCACTCACATACGCAGGTTCTGCGGACTTCATCTTTCTTCTCCATGCCCAGTACACCCTTGCTGTTATTGTTTAGTTGCTTAGTTGTGTCCGACTCTTGGCGACCCCATGGACTGTAACTCACCTTTGCTTCTCTGTCCATGGGATTCTCCAGACAAGAATACTGGAGTAGGTTGCCATTTCCTTCTCCAGGGGATTTTCCCCACCCAGGGATCGAACCCAGGTCTCCTGCTTGGCAGGAGGATTCTTTACCACTGATCCAGGGAGGCCCCTAAAACACCATGGCTCTTATAAAAATGAATATGTACATATATTTCTCAAAATTTTATAATCCTTTTACACTTCTCGTCAGAATTTTCTCTTTGGAAAATATTCCTTTGATTTCCTTCCCACTGTGCAAAATAATAATTCCTTTTCTTTGTCCTAAATTTGATTTTCCCCATCTTCATAAAGCTCTCCCAAGATTTCTGAAATTGATAAATATTTAGCTCATCCTGGCTTTATGCAAGTTGATCACACCCCCCTCCACCTTTACCTTCTGAAAAATGGAGACCCTTTTTTTGTTAGAATGGTTTCATATGACAACCACTGTAATATCTATAAAATTCATTATATATTCCTTGAACTTAGTATATCATTACTATATCTGTGGATCTTAAAAGTGGAGGTGAGGGAGGGAGCATTAGATTTGCTTTGGAGAACCTACCTGAACCTGGCCTCACACAGTTTCACACTCATTAACCCCGTGTTTGCTGATCCCTCACTTTTGAAATTAGGAAGACAAGATCCATAGAATCTGAGACTTACTTAAGTGTCACATGGCCAGCAAGTGGCAGAATTTGACTCTAAAAGCTGTATTTTTCTCATTCACTGTAAATAAGAGAACTATAAGAGAGAAGCTGTACACACCAGAGAAAAGAAGATGAATTATTTTGTGATATTTTGGTTGGTTTGGTCACTTTACGGTCAGTTTCTCGCTGTGCGGATGTGTGTGTTCTACGTGTGAACACGCGTCTCGTGATTGGATCGTTCACGCCACCTGCTGACGCACGCTCCTGAGTCTGTGTTGTGGTGTCAGCATCTTCATGGCTTCATCCATCATAACCGCACAGGTGTCTGTGTTGTGAGCAGCCTAAACTTACTCAGTGTTGCCAGTATCCTGTCCTCCTGTTTCCCCCACTCTCAACTTTTAATATGTTAGAATTCAAGGAAACTTCTTTAGACTAGACTCCTAGGACTGGAAGTAATGAGGCAAATATTCTCAACATTTTTATGATAAAAATTAGTGCTCTTTCCATACAAATGTCTCCCTGAAACTATACAAATGAAGTAATTTCACCCATATTGTGTATCTCTCAAATTCAGCAGTATCTACCAGAATGGCAAAATGGAATACCTTTGCACCTGCCACCACAGAGGTTGTGAATATAGTCACAAAATTATGTACATGCACAGACATAGATCTTCAATGGCATTATTTATAGTGGCAGAAAACTAGTCATATCTAATTAAATAAATCAGGTTATAGTCATAGAACAGAACAGAAGCTAGAACACAGGCGGCTCATATTTCACTGACATGGATAACATTTTTAACATTTTTTTTCTTCCTTTAATATGAACTTTATTGATACAGAGTTAACATAAATTTGCACATATCTTATGTGTATATTTTGATAAGTGTACATATCAGTATAAACACCATCACTATGAAGATATTGAACAATTCTCTCACCCCAAAGAGTATCCTTGCTACTATTTGAGGTTTTATCTTTCCAAACCCCAGTTCAGGCAACCACTGGTCTAATTTCTATCATAGAATAAGCATAACTACTCTAACATAAGGTAAATTATGTTAAAAGTTATGCTTGTTCTGTAATTTAATGTAATTGAAATTGAGCAATTTGTTTGGCCTGGCCTTACTTGCTCATAATGCTGTTTGGAGATATATTTAAATTTTTCCATGTAACCGTTTTTTGTTGTTTTTTTTAATTTCTGAGTAACGTAATACTTATACCAACATTGATCCATTCATCTGTTGATAGAAATAACATATTAACTTATTGCAATCTTTTTGTGTAAAACAATAGTAACAACAGTGTCCACATACAGCAAGGTAACATTTATGTCAGCCATGACCCACTTGAAACTAGAAAGACGTGGTGATTACCAGCAGGTTAGGAATTTTACTCAAGCACATTTCCTCCTGTGCGTGTGTGCTAAGTCGCTTCAGTCATGCCCGACTCTTTGAGACCCCATGGACTGTGTAGCCTGCCAGGCTCCTCTGTCTATGGGATTCTTCAGGCAAGAATACTGGAGTGGGTTGCCATGCCATCCTCCAGAGGATCTTCCTCACCTAGAGGTTGAACCTGCATCTCCTGAGGCTCCTGCCTTGCAGGTGGCTTCGTGACCGCTGCACTACCGCTGTCCCAGGCTCTACAGGGCCACCCCCCGGCCCCGCCCCATCCCAGGAGCTGCAGGGTCTCCACCGGCTGTGCTGATTTTGGCCACAGCAGATGCTGAGCATGCCTCTGCCCCCTACAAGCTGTGCACCCCTGAGCAAGTTACTCACCTTCTCTGATTCCTCAAGTGTTCCATGCGGCTGGACCCAGGGTATCATGTGCACCAGCTGTGGTAACACTTGCCTGCTCTTAGCTCAGCGCCTGGCACCGGATCAGCAGAAAACAAACACCAGCTCTTAGCAGCACAACTGCGCTTCATCACAAACCGTGTCAGCCCCCGGCGACAAAGGCTTAGCCGGCCACGACTGCCCAGGGCACCTCTTCTCATCACTAGCAGGAGAGGGTGTCACAGTTACTCGTCTCATGGTTTGTGTGTTACCCTTGCAATGGTCACTAATGTTTTTAAGAAAAGATGTGTTTGACAGTTTAGTTTTGACATTTGTGGACTGGAGTCAAAACACCTTTTGAGACAGTAGGTACTATTTCTTGCAAAAAAAAAAAAAAAAGAAAAGGGACCATATAGAAGCTGGAATAGCATTCAATTAAACTAATCTTTGGTTGTTTAGTCATATATTTACTCAATGTCGTATATTTACTCTTCTGGGGCAGAATTTTCATACTGAGAGTTTGGGAGCGGGAGGTTGTTTGCTTTTGGAGTTTTGGTTATTTTTTTAGAAACTACGCTACTAGAGTTCTCTCGTGAGTTAATGTTGCACCACAAATGCTTCCTTGGGCTCGGGGAGACTTCTCGGCAAATGCAGCCACTGTAAGGACTGTGTGTGGAGTGTAAGCTTTCTGTTCTGTTGTGGCATTGCCCTGCCCGGGCACATCCTGTGAGCAGACAGCGCTGTTTCAAGGCGGGTGGAGGGGTTGCCCGGGGCTGGTAAAGCTTCAGTTCTTCTGTATGTCATGTATGTGGATGCCGTCATCACCACCGTCCTATTCAACAGCCCGTATGTTGTGTTAGCTCTGTCTGGTTCATGCTGTACCTGCAGGATGTAACAAGAGCTTTTAAGTCCTCTCATAATGCAATCCAACACAGCCTGTTTTTCACCCAAGCTAAGTAAAGCAATTTTATTTGCATACATTTAGAAGGTGGAGGCTCAGCGTTGAGTTAGGGGGTCATGCACAATTTGATGAAACACGGTAGCAACATAATTACACCAGCACGAGTGCATTTCCCTCCCGTTGTTGTTTTCCTGGGTCAAGTGCATCTCTGCATTAATTACACAAATGCGTAATTAATTATGGCAGATGAACACACACACAAATAGTCCCTGGTCCAGGTCCGAGTCTTGGTTGTAAAATAAAATGTTCTCTATTGCACTAGGTGGAGACGGCTACAGACTCCGACACGGAGAGCCGGGGGCTGCGGGAGTACCACTCGGTGGGCGTCCAGGTGGAAGATGAGAAAAGGTAACCACTTCAGACTCCCGGGGCCTCTGAGCAGGGCTGTGGGTTAGAAACGTGATGCCGAGTGTCTGGACAGCACTGGCCATCAACGGTTCATGCCGTTTGTGGAGACAGGGTCATATATCCCTAGCCCTAACTCAGTGGATATCATTCAGGTATGAATTAGCATCCTTCTGAGCTTTGTTTCTGCTAGAGGCCAGGTACTCATTTTTTCTAAAGTAACTTTACCACCTGTGAAAGCAGAGGGGCTGGCAGCTCTGAACACCAGAGTCCTTCACCCAAAGTGGGGAAAGGATGAGCGTAAAGGCAGCGCAGGTTTTCCCACCTTAGGATGTTAACAGTACAACCACAGAGAGAGGGAGAGTGAAAGATTGAAGAATCCTTAGGATGGTGACGCTTCAAAAGAAGCCTTCACGCTGCCCAGCACAGAGAAGTCCACGACAAGAGTATTGTTTTTGTAATGAGGATAGGGTGATTATTCTATTTTATATTTAAAATAGCATATCTTGTAAGTTTCATAAAGACAGATTTGATGGGCATATCACATCGTGAGTGCCAGGCAGCGTCTGGTTGTTGAAACCCTGGTGAGTCACTCACAGTGAGGGTTTTAGACCAACCTGCAAAGATGTGGACTGCCAAGGAATCGAGAGCACAAACTGATAGCTTCCCCAGGATGGGGGCCTCTCAGAAACCGTGTCTTCTGCCCCGGGACCTGGGCTCGCGGCCCCCCGTCCCCGCTGGTGGCTCTTTCTCAGCGCCTTGCCTCCAGCGAAGGCACATCCATTAGCCAGCTGCACACACAGCTGCCTGCCATCTGCACGTCCAGCTGGTGAGGAGCCAACTTGTGTGGCTTGGCAGAGTTTAGGTGTGCAGACACACATGCACGCACGCACACATGTACACATGCACACATAGACACACACAGGCATACACATGCATGCACACACAGAGACACACATGCATACAGATACACATGCACATGCATGCACATGCATACACACACACACACACATAGTTCTCACCAGCAAAATCTGGGCTCCAGTTATAAGTTCATTCTTGCCAGTCCTTTCAGTAACTGGCTATGAGGAATGAGTGACATTTAAATACATACAATGAAAATGTTTTTTAAACACCTGCTGAAGTCAGAATTTGGATTCATTATTTTGCATAAAAGACATAACCAGATGATACTGCATTATTCAGAGAGAAGCTCATGTCCTGAAATATGATATGAATAGCCACCAGAACTCAACAAGACACAGATGTTATTACTTAAAAGAATTATGTACTTGAAAGAAGCAGTGGGGCTTCATTTTACATACATACAACACACAGAAATGTGTAAGCCTGTCACGTATTTCTGAAAGGCAGGTAAGCACCCCAAGACAGTGGTTTCAGAAATAGATTAAGCCACCTGTGGTAAACTTAAGTCTTCAGTGGGCATCACTTAGCCACTGAAGCTTAGGTAAAAGTTAGAGTTTCATTCTTTGCAAAGTCAAATAAAGCTCTCACACAGAGGAAACACCAGTGTGCTGATAACAAAGATGAAACCACTCATCTCCGCCACGAGGCTGGCGTGTGGCCCAGCCTGCTCCGGATGTGTAAGCTGGGCTCTGCGGCTCAGGGTTATCTCTGACAAGCTCCCGTCTGTCTCCCCCCCCCACCCCCCGCAGACACGGACGCTTCAAGCGCTCCAACAGCGTGACGGCTGGGGTGCAGGCAGACCTGGAGCTGGAGGGCTTCCCAGGACACGTCGCCACGGAGGACAAGGGCCTGCAGTTCGGGTCCTCCTTCCAGAGGCACTCGGAGCCCAGCACCCCCACGCAGTACGGGGCGGTGCGCACCGTCCGGACCCAGGGGCTCTTCAGTTACCGGGAGGACTACCGGACCCCTGTGGACACTGCCAGCCTGCCCCCTCCCGACCCCTGGCTGGAGCCGGCCCTGGACGCGGTGGACGGCGGGCGCGCGTCCCCCTGCCACAGGGACGGCGCGTGGTTCCTGAAGCTGCTGCACACGGAGACGAAGCGGATGGAAGGCTGGTGCAAGGAGATGGAGAGGGAAGCCGAGGAGAATGACCTCGTGGAGGAAGGTAAGAGGCAGGTCTCTGCTGAGGCCTGAAGACACTCGCCAGGTTTCCATAAAGCAAATGAGCACATGGCGAATGAAATCCATGAGGACAGTCCCTTTGATCCCTGAGTAAATTAAAGTGCATGGGCTCCCACCATATCCCACCCAAGCTAAGATGCAAGCAAATGAACAGAAAAGCAGTGGCTGAGATATTGACGGGCATCCCTCTGTTCCGTGCTGTGTGCTGGATAGCAGGATGGCTCAGGCCCGCAGGGGTCTTGGGACTGCAGGTTATCTCAGGGTCCATGTGCTGGTTCTCTGAATTTTGGCAATGATGATGGGCAACAATTCAACTGTTTTCTAGACTTGTGACTGTCCTGTGTTAAAAGAAATTGCTTTGGCTTTGTGTCAGAGAAAAGCTGGAGATGGTGACTGACCTCCTAGCTAGTGATGGAGTGTCTTCTGCTGTTCAGAAAATGCCATGCCTCATTCCTGGCCATTTACTTCACTCTGATTCTCTGAATCCGTCACCCTCATTTGTGGTTCAGAGAGGATCCCTGAGCAATAAAATACACACTTGGCTTGTGCCTTAGGCCCTGGGAATTAAGAGATGATGTTAAAAGTCCCCAGCACTGAAGCCTTGTCCTGATAAGTTATGAATTTCTTGTCACTGGGGGTGGTCGGGAAAATCCTGGAAGTAATGCCGTGAACATCCTGTGTATGACTTGATGATCTGCAGTGACCCGGATCAACAGTAAGATCCTGTCACCTAGGTTGTCATCACCTTATTATCAGCATCTAGAGAACGCGTTTCTCCTTCAGCCCGGCAGAGGAAAGGGGGCTTCTGCTGTCCGTCAGCTGCATTTCTCTACACAAGTTTTTTTCACCTTGCTTGCACCTTTGGGATCTTCTCCTGGACTCTGTGTCCTGTAAAGCCCCAGCAGGCATTTGCTGAGCACAATGGTAGGAGCTGTCTCATAGACACTCATAGTGGAGACACTGATGAGCACGCAGCACAGACACCGCAGGGACTGCAGAGTGGGTAAGACCAGCACAGAGGCATTTCTAGTGAGTGAGGAACGTGTGCGTGGTAAGAGTGGTGCAGACCCAGCGCTGTAAACACCCCCAGGTCCAGCAGATGCTGCCAGCAGGGCAGTCTGAGAAGTCTTCCTGGTGGTGGGGGAGTCTGGGCGGACCTTGAAGGCAGGGAGACTAGTCAGGCAGGCGAGCAAATATCAGGGCAGGAGCAGGGGCAGAGAGCCAGGCCGGAGACCCTCCAGGAAGGCCCTTCCTCAGACATGGACTCTGCATCTGCCTGGGGAGCTTGGTCCCGACCTCCGGAGCCCCTGGCTCTGTCATGCCTGAGGACAGGCACATGGGCACACGCCCCTCTCAAAGGTGGGGACGGCTTTGCGTTTTCCTGGAGCTCTGCCCGGTCTTAGGCTCCTGGGCAATCACACTTGATACACTAATCGTCCTCCTGCGGTGCCCAGATATGCTGAGCATCCTCCAGCGGTGCCCAGACACGCTGAGCGTCTGCTGGCGGTGCTCAGCAGAAGCCTCGGCGGCGAGAGTCTGAAGGAGGAAGAGGGAAGGGGGTCAGTCTTCGCACACAGGGTGCCACCCCTACTCACGCCTCTGCACAACACAACATGTAAAACCCCGTGTGCCCTGACACTACCCTCGGCCAGGAAGGGCCCCCCCCCCCAGACACCAGCTCAGTCACCATGACTCCACGGGGTTTTCCTGCCACTGTTTCATAACTACGTGAAATCACATCTCCTTAGGAGCCTCGGATTCAAAGAGCAGCGAACAGGTCTACCTGATCCTTTCTGTGATTTTCTCAATTTCTTCATTACCCAGCTTTATTTTTTGTGCCAAAGGTGAGAGAATGCTTGCTTTGAATCTCAACTGTATGCTTCACACATTAACCGAGCGCCGTATTGGTCACATTTAAGTGATTCCCTAGTAATGGTTAATGGTGAGATAACTTTCTATTCCACTCCTCACTTTAAAAACAGGTACACGTTTCTTGGTTACAGTCCTTTTAAAAAGACAAGATTAAATTAAATGACTGTTGAACCAAAACCCTGAGCTCCAAATATTGAAATTTCCATTATGTGAGATAACTTTTCTCCCAAGCTATTATTTTATAACCACAGCTCACTGAATTGATAGAACAAATTCAGATTCACTCAGCTCTCTACGGTTAATAAAAATATCATGAGAACTTTTAAATACTGGTATAAGTTAAATCATGTTAAAGCAGGTTAATCCATAAACAGATACTCTGCAGGGATTGTAAACCACCACTAGACTAGTGTTTTGCGGTTTTTGTGTTAATTATGTTAAACCAAATGGGTAAGTGGCATAAAGTAAAATCAAAAAAATTAAAATAAAAAAAGGTATGTTTTCTGAAATGGAAGTTTCCAGAGCCACAAAGATCTTACTCAGCAGGTTTGTAAAAAGATGAATGGCCTGAGGAACTGCGCAGTGGGGTCTTTTGAAAGGTGCTGCGGTGTCCTTTTGCCCCCAAACATCTCTGCCCCAGAGCTGCTTATCTGAAGATCTCCCAGCCAGAGGCACAGACCGCAAGCTCAAGGCTCCGGGAGACCTCATCATCTGAGGGACCCCCATCTTCACTCGCAACGTTATTGCCAGAGCTGGGGTTCGGTGCTCCCGGCAGGTCTCCCAGACCTCCTTCCCTGGAGGTCCATGCTCTCTGGTCCGGCTCGGGCACCGTGCCGTTGGCGGTAATCACAGTGACCCGGGGGACTCGGGGACCAAGGGGGTGAGGAGGACGGGCCACAGGGACACTGCCCTGGGGCTGCGGTTTGCCCAGGAGTCCGCACACTGAAGGTCAGAAGCGTGACGGCTTCCGAGCACCGCCGCTTCCAGCCGGGGCCCAGTCCGGTCACCGCGAGCCCAAGGCCCCGCCTCCGACAGGACGCAGCGCCCGCTGAGGGTGCGGTCAGAGCGCGGGCCGCCCCAGCCGCCGGGGCCGCGGCATAGCAAGCCTGCGAGGAGGCGTGTGCTCGAGAAACAGGAAGCTGAGAAAGCCTGAGGCTTCGCTGGGGGTTTGTGGGCTCGGGCGCGTCCCCACGCCTGGGTCTAGAGGGAATCCGAGAGACCCATGGGGTCGTGGATCTCCAAGTGACCACCTCAAACTGTGTACAAATGCTAGAAAAGCCCACCTCGAATTTCAAAAGAATAGTGTTAGTGTTGCCCTGGCACTTCATAGTAGATTTAGGTGGAGTTGGAAATTGTAGAACAGGTGTGAAAAATAAATTAAAGGAGCGAGTCAGTTAATCAAATTTCTCTGTACATCAAAGGCCTGGGTTGTCTCAGGTTCTTTGTAAATTTGCATTCTGATGAGCATGAGCCTTATCTGTAGCTCTTAAAAGAAAGTGGTTAAACTATGACAGAATTAGGGAAGGATAGTGGAAAAGAAATGGCAACCCACTCCAGTATTCTTGCCTGAAAAATCCCATGGACTGAGGATCCTGGTAGGCTACAGTCCATGGGTTCGCAAAGAGTCGGACACGACTGAGCAACTTCACTTCAGTGGAAAAGAATAAATTGAATTTTTGCTTCAAATTCTTTGCAATTATGGGAAGCTATTATTTACATTGTAGGTGTCAGATAGAACCATCTGCGCTGATGAGCACAGATTCCCTGCCATTAGTCATCAGGCCAGTAGCCACACTCTGACATTCCTTATCTCTCCCGAGCAATAATCAGTGTATACCCTTTATAATAAGTCTCCACTTTATTAAATCAACACCCAGACATCACCCCCTATCCATGCTGTGCTAAAGTTTATTAACTGAAGTCCTGTATATTAATACTTCCATTGAGGTGCCTTTTAAAAAGGATGTGAAAAATGGGGACTGAAAGTCCAGCATCACGACACCTCACAGACGACCCCACTGTTGACTTCCTTGTGCTGTTCATCTTTCTTATGAACCTGTGGAGTAAGATGTTTGTGGCTCTGGAAACTTTCCTTTTATTTCAGAAACCACACTCCTTTGGGGGCTTTCTTTTTGTTTGTTTTACTTTGTATCACTTACAATGCCATTGGTTTAACTGATTGACCTTTTAATTATCACTTCAGCAAGCATAGCGTCAGTGAAAAAAAATTGCATTTATATGTGAGTCACTTCTATATATTCGTATGGCGACCATTTGGTTAAAACACGTCTCTTTAAAGGTTTTCGTCAGTCCTGCAAGTTACAAGGGTTTACAAGTGGAAGTCGAACATGTTCAGTTTGGGAGCCAAGTTGTGAACCAGGTGGGAAATATTTTCAGCCCTTCCAGGCTGTGCTCCGGCCCCTCTGCCTTCCCGCCCTGTATCCCCTCCACTGCCCGGAGCAGGGGGAGGTGAGCAGGCCGGGCGGCCGGGGGGCGAGCCCCCCTGCAGCAGGCTGTGGGCGTCAGGACGCTGACAAGACAGCTTTCTGTTTCGTTCAAGTCTGAAAGGATGCCGCGGTGTTATCTAGTGAACTCACTGGTATTGAAAGTTACAGTTTTAACTCTTGTTCACATTTTAGAAGCACCCAAGAATTGGGTGACATTAGGGAAGCATTGGTTTCTCAGGAAGGGCCATGGCTCTGTGGTTGTGCAGGGTACTGGCGAGGGAGGCGCTGGCTACCGCTCATCTCCAAGAGAGTCAGAAAGACAGACACGCACAGAGATAGCGATCCCAAGACATGGAGTGGAGGTGCTGGTGGTACTTTGTTTCAAGTACTCTGTGTGTGCAAGTCGTCACAACAAGCTTTGGGGAACAGCAATCCAGACAAGTCAGAAAATTCAGGCAAACTCAGGAGCATTTCAGGCCACTAACCCCCACCCCACCCCCACCCCAGGAGAGCACCACGTGGTGGACATGCTGTCCGGGGCTGGGTGCTCACCCTGTAAGCACAATGGTGCCCCGGGCCTTCTGTTCCACGGCTGTTTTCTATCCCAGTAGGACACGTCCTCAGCACCCCTCACAGACACATTTGATTTTGGGGACTCCGGTTCCAGTTCGTGGCGCTTGGCCGCCTGTGCACCAAAGCCCCCAGCTGTGTCCGTGAGCCCCACCCCGGGGGAAGCCAGGAACCAAGGTCTCAGTGGCTTGTGGCCCAGGAGTCAGAGTCCTTGAGGCCGGTTTCTAGCTCGCCCTGAATGAGTCTCAACTCATTATTTTGGAGGCTGCATATCAAAATTAGCAGTGGTTGGGGAAATTAGGGAGAAAGCTAAAGAAACTAAGTGTACCTCTCTGGACGTGGGCTGCACCCCTGTGGAAATGCCAGGTCTCAGGCCCACCCCACACCCCCTGAGTCTGCCCGTAACCAGATTCTCCCCAGCCAAGTGACCCGCGTGCTGAAGGTCCTGCCCTCTGGGCTCTTCTCCAGACTGAACCTCAGGAATGTCCCAGGGTCGACAATCCACAAGTACCGAAACACCCTGTTGGTGGTGATGGTTCAGTGTCCGCTTCATGCCAGACAAGCTCCCGGCTAAGATCTTTGTCTCAGAAGGCTCCCCTCTTCCCTGGGCTGGAGACAAGCTGGCCCCACATGGAATGGCAGGGGCTCTGTGTAGCTGGTTGTTATCTGTGTTGTGCGGGTCTTGAAGGGGACTCAAGAGAGGAGACACTTGCCCTCAGAGGGGAGTAGCTGGGGATGGCCTCTTAGACCGAACCCCAGAAACAAGGGCCCAGGTACAAAGGCCAGAAGCGTTTGCCTCCAGATGCCTAAGTGCCTCTGAGAATCATGGGAGTTGGGGTCTCCCAAAGCTGTTATTTCTGAAATAATGATGATGTTCACACAGGCCAGGATTGGGGCAGAATGATGGGAAGTGAGGAGGCACTTGGAGGGAGTGGGTATGGGGTTTCCCAAAATTTTCATGGCAGAAATCTTTCTTTTGCCCAGTTCAAATCCCTAAGTCAGCACAACTATCCAGTAAGTGGTCAAATCCTTTCCACTGACAAGGCTGTATTACTTACTTTTTTAAAGTGCCCTTTGATTAATTAAGTTCTTACAACTTGAGATCCTTCGTAGATTAAACTGACCCTTGCTGCTCCTGACAGCCCTGATGAGCTGGCCACCAGGTGCCCGAGGCAGGACGTCCTCATACACGCCTCCAGGGGTCAGCAGGGTGATGTGAGGGGCCAGGGTCCCTGCCAGCCAGCTTACTCCCGAGGGGCTGGGTGGGCTAGCAGGACCTTTCAAAGGTAAATTTCCCCCCACACTGAAGTGTCCTGATAGTCAGTATTTGGTCATCTTTGAATTTCCTTCATGGATCAGGATGGACCAGATGGAAAGATGGCTCAACTGGTGACCGTTCCACACAGTAAGCTCAAAGTTTTCACCTCCGATGACTGAGGATAATGGCTTCCCAGGTGACTCAGTGGTAAAGAACCTACCTGCCAATGCAGGAGATGAGGGTTCGATCCCTGAGTAGGGAAGATTCCCAGGAGGAGGGCATGGCGACCCCCTCCAGTGTTCTTGCCTGGAGAATCCCACAGACAGAGGCGCCTGGGGGGCACAGTCCGTGGGGCTGCAGTTGGACACAACCGCATGCACGCGAGGGCATGGAGCCGCCGCGGGAAGGCCGCCTCGCATGGCACCCCTCTCCTGGCCCCCACCGACCCACCCATAACCCTGTGTGTGTCCACAGTCCTTGGCAAGATCCGGAGCGCCGTGGGGAGTGCCCAGCTGCTGATGTCCCAGAAGTTCCAGCAGTTTTACTGGCTCTGCCAACAGAACATGGTGAGTGCCCCCTCGAGACCCTAGGGTGCAGGTCAGCAGGCCGGGCGTCCACTCTTTCTGCCCTCACCTCTGCCCTGTCCACTGTGAAGGACCGCTGCAGGAGCGCAGCCTGGTAAAGGTTGGGGATGCGCCCAGCTCCAGGGGCCAAAGCAGAGAGGCCTCGGCTGTGGGCGAGGGAGGGGCGCGGTGGGCAGAGGGCAGTCGGCCCCCAGCCACGAGAGTGTCCTTGGCCACCGGCCTGCCCCTGGGGACCCCAGGCAGGGGGACAAGCGTGAATCATGTCATGGGGATGTCCCGGTGTAGGCGGCGCCAGGAGGTGACTCCAATAGAAACACGTAAGCAGCCACGCTGAGAGAGACTGGCAGGGGATTCCAGGAGCAGTCCCGGCTTTATGTTACAGGCAGGAGTGAACTGAAACACTGTGGACTAAGTTAGGAAATACGGTTGGCACTAAACTTGGTTCTGATCTTCCTGAAAATAAAAGGGAATATATATATATATATTATATACACATATATATATTCTAATGTGAATACTTACATATATACAATATTATGTATAAATAAATATAAATATGTATCATTACACACATACTTTTCCTTATCTGACCAAAGAAAGTACTCACTTGATATTATTTTGGAGAAACAATAATTATTTGGAGAAAGTCATTGAAGAGTAACAGCTGAATGGTATTCACACTGCTTTACAACCTCTTCTATGTATTTTTATTTATAATCCGTATACTGACCTCTTTCAGACCAAACATTTTCATTATCACACAAGCAGCAGTTCACGGTGCCTCGACCTTGTTTTGCTCCATTCTTAAATTCACAAGGAGGCCTGTGAGTTTGCAGCATGTTCTTCCACATGGAGGCAGCCTAGCACGTCAGAGTTGCCAATTCATCCCTCTTCATCGGGATCATTAAAAAGAATGTTTTCTCCAATATTTTCCATTAATCCCATTCCAGTTCATCATGAGACTTAAAGCGTTAGCACCTGGTCTCCTCTGACGTGAAGTTACAATCAACATTTAAGAGCGGGGGACGGGCATGCTCAGGGTCCCTGAAAGGAAAGTGCAGCTGTAGAAACACTAGGCACTCCCGTCCCCCAGGCGTGTCCTGCCCCCCTCAGCCCCACCCCATCGCCATCTCTGAGGACTGACGAGGCCACCAGGGGGCGTGGTCCCTGTTCCGCTGAGCCGATGGGAGGGTTGTCTGTGTCTTCAGGAATCTCCATGCAGCACAGTAACGGTCTTCCAGCTGTGAGCAATGCACGTCTTCTCTGCCAGAGGCAGCTGGTACTAGACCTGAGAATCATCCAGCCTCATCCCTGACACCTCTTACACACGTCAGATTGCACTTTGTGTTGGCCGTAGGAAGTCTGGCATGACCGCTTCCTTTTCGTGTGGCCTCCATGTAGGGTTGGACCAAAAGCCCCAGAGCACTCTTTGGAGGTTGCTGGGCTCTGGGCGGACCGTCAGCAGAGGAGCTGCTGGCAGTGCCGGCAGGGCCCTGCTCATCAAAACCACACTGTCTTCATCAGCAGCTCTAGTTCTAAGTCAACGGAATGGCCCCAGGGAGTCAGACCCACTAGCTGTTGAGGATGGACTCTGGGAAGGGCCTGCCCTTGACACTAGCGGTGGACCCCTGTGGCCGTAAGGCCAGCGGCCCAGCAACCCCAGAGCTGGGAGAGACGGAGTCACACACAGACTGCAGGTCTAACGCTGCACTTGAATGAGACCATGGTCTCTCCTCAGCCCTTCTCAGGACACACAGCTCCCAGAGAATGTTCTAAAACACAGAGCATCTGAGCCCACATCCCAGGACCCCCCCATGCTGGGGCCGGGCAGCACCCCGGGACCCTGCGTGCAGTCAACAGCGATGGACGGCTCTGCACACTTGCCAGGGGAGGGGACTGGCCTGGCCCACCTTGATGTGACAGACAAGGCTTACAAACAGACCAGGGCACGTGAGTGTCCGGGGACACAGACATAGCCATGCCTCCCAGAAAGAAGCAGAGGACACAGAGCAGACCCTGACCATACTGGGGTCCACCACGACCATAGCCTCTGCCCCCCAGAGCCCAGAGCGGAGGCCCAGTGACCCCGGAGTTCACTCTTGGGCGACCTGATCCTCAGACACGCGCAGGCCCTTCACACCTGCCCCTGTGGGGGGTGGGGTGGGGAGGAGGGATCACTGTGCTGGCTTCGTCCTCCAGGAGGAGGACACGCAGCTCAGGCCCCGCTGTCAGGGGGAGGAGCACCCTGCCAGCCCCAGCTGTCCAGGGAGCCCCTGTTAGTCCCCCCAAACCCCATCATCTGCAAGGCACAGCCCAGAGCAAGGCCTTCACTGTTTTCCTTTACAAGCAGTGGCTGAGCTCAGACTCAGGCGAGTGCATGACAACCCAGGCCCGGCAACCTGATGAGCCCTCCCGCGCCTGACCCTGAGCCTGACCCTAACATGACCCTGACCCTGCACCTCGCCCTGACTCTGTACCCGAACCCCACCCGACCCTGACCCTGACCGGACCCTGCACCTGCCCGTCAGGTCGCCCCCTGGTGGCTCAGTGGAGAAGGTCCTCACACAGTAAACAGCCGCCCCGGAGCTGGAATTCTCACTCTGAGCAGAAAACGAGGGCTTTGTGTGCAAGTGGCTTGGACGGCGGTTCTGACCCCCTCCCGGCAGGTCAGCACAGCTGCCATCTGGTTGCGTCGGGCAGGATGGACAGTGCCCAGAGAGTGACCTCGTGGGTGTGGACATGGAACCAGGACTGGACGTCTGTGTCCCCCAGCATTCACACGTCGAGTCCTGGCCCCGGTGAGGGTGCCAGGAGGGGGCTGCAGGGTGAAGCTCACATGGTGAGGCCCCATGAATGGGTCAGTGCCCTGATGAGCGTGTGCAGGAGCAAACCCGTCTGGGGGCCACATCCACCCTTGGCTTCCCGTGCGCCACTCGGCAGGAACCTGACCTGCCAAGCCCTCCCTCCAGGCCAGGGCAACGGCATCCATGGTGCACACGTGGGGTGTCTCTGACCTTCAGAAGCAGAGCTGAGACCCCTCAGAGGACAGAAGGAAACAGGCCCCACCTCCCCAGTGCCCCCCACCTCCAGCACCACCACAGACCCTGCCCAGGAGCCTCACAGGTGCCCAGAACCAGAGGGCCTCCGGCCGCCAGAACTGTCCAGGCATCAAAACCTTCACAGGCGCCACCATCCCCAGGTTCTGAGAAAGCATTTTCTCCCAGTTGTGTTGAGATACAATTAACATGCAGCACTGGATAAATGTAGGGGTGCAGCACCATGATCTGACTGGTATACATCATGAAATGATTGTCACCATAATCTGAGAGAACATCCATCACGTCTTGTGGGTACACGAAAAAGTAGAAAAATGTAGTTTTCCTTGTGATGAGAGCCTTCAGGATTTACTCTCTTAACAGCTTTCGTACATAAGGGATAGCAGTGTTGACCGTATTTATCGTGCTGTACCTCACATTCCTAGTATTGGTTTATCCTATTATTGGAAGTTCGTACCTTTGGCCACCTTCGTGGCATTCTCCCTCCTCCCACCCCACCCCTACTTCTGGTAACCACAAATCTGGTCCCTTTTTCTATGAGTTTGCTTCCTTGTTTTTTGAATTGCAGCACCATGTTAGTTCCTGATACACAGCATAGTGATCTGAGTTTCAAACTGATCAACACAATAAGTCTAGTTACAATATGTCACCATACAAAGAGACTACACAATTATTCTTGGATTCCCCACACTGTACGTTTCATTCCCATAACTCTTATTTTGCAGATTGCAGTCTGTACCTCCTTATCTCCCGAACTTATTCTCACCCCCATCCCCAGTCCCCTCTGCAAACACCTGTTTGTTCTCTGTATCTATGACTGTTTCCGTCTCTTATGTTTGTCCCTTTGTTTTGATTTTTAGGTTCAACATACAAGTGAAGTCATACAGCATTTTTCTGTCTGACTTACATGTTATTGCAGATTTCAAGATTTCATTCTTTGTTATACTGAAGTAGTATTTCAGTATATATATGCATGGCATCCTCTCTGCCGAAGGACACTTCGGCTGCTTCCATGTCTTGGCTATTGTAAATAGTTTTGCAGTGAATATGGGAGTGCGTGTGTCTTTTTGAATTAGTGTTGTCGTTTCCTTCAGATAATACCCAGGAGTGCACCGTTGGGTTGTGTGCTAGCTGCATGTTTAGTTTTGTGAGGATACTCCATACTGTTCTCCACAGTGGCTACACCAATCTATGTTCCCACCAGCAGCACACAAGGGCTCCCTCCTCTCTGCATCCTCAAAACCTTGTTACTTCTTGTCTGATGATGGCCACTGGGACAGGTGCAAGGTGATACCTCACTGTGGTTTTGCTGTGCATTTCTCTGATGATTCGTGATGCCGAGCATCTTTTCATGTGCCCGGGGGCCATCTGTATGTCTTCCTTGGAAGACAGATCCTCTGCCCATTTTTCAACCACGTTGATAGACGTTTTTGGGGCCATTGTAGATTCACAGCAAAACTGGGTGAAAAATACAGAGAAAAGGCCACGTACTCCCTGTTGCCACACACCAGCCCCACCAGATGGTCCGTGTGTTACGACTGGTGAACCCGCACAAATCCATCACCATCACTGCGAGTCCATGGTTTCCATCGGGGCTCACTCTTGGTGTTGGACAGTCTGTGGATTTAGACAAATATATGACATGTGTCCACCAGGACAGTGACACGCAGAGCGGTCTCACAGTCCTGAGAATCCTCTGTGCTCCCCCTGGTCACCCCTTGTCCTCCCTCAGCCCCTGGCCACCTCTCAGCTTTTTCCTGCCTCCATAGTTGTGCCCTTTCCAGCATGTCCTACAACTGGAGCCACACATAATGCAGACTTTTCAGACTTGCTGTTGTTCAACTGCTCGGTCACGTCCAACTCTTAGAGACCCCACAGACCGCAGCACGTCAGGTTTCCCTGTGCTTCACCATTTCCCGGAGCTTGCTCAAACTCATGTCCATTGAGTCAGTGATGCCATCCCACCATCTCGTCCTCTGTCGGCCCCTTCTCCTTCCGCCTTCAATCTTTCCCAGCATCAGGGTCTTTTCTAATGAGTTGGCTCTTCACATCAGGTTGCCAGAGTATTGGAGCTTCAGCTTCAGCATCAGTCCTTCCAGGACTGATGGACAGGAATTCAGGACTGATCTTCTTTAGGATGGACTGGTTGGATCTCCTCACAGTCCAAGGGACTCTCAAGAGGCTTCTCCAACACCACAGTTCAAAAGCATCAATTCTTCGGTGCTCAGCTTTCTTTAAATCCAACTCTCACATCCATACATGATACTGGAAATACCATAGCTTTCACTAGATGGACCTTTGTTGGCAAAGGCATGCCTCTGCTTTTTGATATGCTGTCTAGGTTAGTCATAGCTTTTCTTTCAAGGAGCAAGGGTCTTTTAATATCAAGGCTGTAGCCACCATCTGCAGTGATTTTGGAGCCCCCCAAAATAAAGTCTGTCACTGTTTCCCTTGTTTCCCCATCTATTTGCCATGAGGTGATGGGACCGGATGCCATGATCTTAGTTTTTTGAATGTTGAGTTTTAAACCAGCTTTTTCATTCTCCTCTTTCACTTTCATCAAGAGGCTCTTTAGTTCTTCTTTACTTTCTGCCATAAGGGTGGTGTCATCTGCCTATCTGAGGTTATTGGTATTTCCCCTAGCAATCTTGATTCCAGCTTGTACTTCATCCAGCCCAGCATTTCTCTTAATATATTCTGCATGTAAGTTAAATAAGCAGGTGAGAATATACAGCTGTGACTTACTCCTTTCCTGACTTTTGAACCAGACTGTTATTCCATGCCCATTTCTAACTTGCTTCTTGACCTGCACACAGATTTCTCAGGAGGCAGGTAAGGTGTCATGGCATTCCCATTTGAAGAATTTTCCAATTTGTTGTGATCCACACAGGCAAAGACTTTGGCATAGTCAATGAAGCAGAAGTAAATGTTCCTCTGGAATTCTCTTGCTTTCTCTGTGATCCAAAAGATGTTGTCAATTTGATCTCTGGTTCCTCTGCCTTTTCTATATCCAGCTTGAACATATAGAAGTTCTTGGTTCACATACTATTGAAACCTAGCTTGGAGAATTTTGAGCATTACTTTGCTAGTATGTGAAATGAGTGCAATTGTGCAGTAATATGAACATTCTTTGACATTGCCCTTTTTGGGGGTTGGAATGAAAACACATTTTCCAGTTCTGTGGCCACTGCTGAGTTTTCCAAATTTGCTGACATACTGAGTGCAGCACTTTAACAGCATCATCTTTTAGGATTTGAAATAGCTCAGCTGAAATTCCATCTCAGATTTTTTAAATGTCAGCAAATACTCACGTAAACTGTCACCAGAGCCTCATGGGCCCTCAGGAGCATGTGCACCCAATTCTGAATTACGGGGGCTTCTCCTGGACCCGCTTCACTGGGAAGAGCAGCCCCTACCCCCGCCCCGCCCAGAGGGCTCCGTGGCCCTAACTGTGCATGTGTCCGGCAGGACCCCAGCGCCATGCCCAGGCCCACCTCCCAGGATCTGGCCGGCTACTGGGACATGCTGCAGCTGTCCGTCCAGGACGTCAGCATGAAGTTCGACGAGTTGCACCAGCTGAAGCTCAGCGACTGGAAGGTGGCTGAGTCCCCGGAGAGGCAGGTAAGCCCCTGCTGCATCCCCACACAGAGCCCACCGCCCCCACCCCTGCCCACAAGCCCTGCACGCGCTCCAAGCGCCACGTCACCACGCGTGTCTCGGTCTGCAGTTAACAGGACAGGGTCTGCTGTCACACCTAAACCCATGTGTGCACAACCAGGCTGGTGCTAGAGTCATCAGCAGTCCTTTTCTTGCTGACAGCTCCGAGAAGACACCAACAGAACCCACATGTGAATTTGCAGTCACGTTTCCTGTCGGGCCCGTCCTCTGAATTACTACCATCACCCCCACCCTCTGTGTGGACTGCACTGTGGTAGTTCCCACAGGAGGCTTCAGGTAGCTTACAGGGACACCTGTGGAGACAAAAACACTATAAACTTCACTGAACAATTCAAGGATGTACACTTTCTGTAGAGCTGGCCCTGAGATAGGCTGAAAATGCCCATTAAGTTTGACCAGTGATTTCAGCTCTTCCCTTTAGGTATCATCTTCTCTAAGGCTGAGAAATAGGTGTGAATTAGCTATAAAGACATTGACGTCCTGACGCGTCTTAGAGAAGTTCTCCAGAATCATAATCTGATTTTCTTAGACAGGCATTATCAATCAAAATGACAAAGAAAACTGACCCGAGATACTTTGGGACAGGGGAGTTTAACGTGCAGCTGAGGGTGTACATCTGGATAATGAGCACGCAAACCATCATCATCCTTTTTCCCTAAAACGTGCCTCCTGTAGTCCAGGCTAGAGACCATCGCTCGATCACAGGTGCTGACGAAGCCCTTGTCACCGCAGACAGGGGGCGGAGGGGCGTGCAAACGACCAGATTGTGCGTGAGCAAGTCCAGGAGGTCTGTGGTTTGCGCGTGAATGAAGGCGATCATAAGTAATGATTCCCAGTGAAAAAGTTATTCTAGGAAACCACTAAAAATCCAACTTTTAAACTAGTCTGAAGATACATAAAAGTCCCCTGTTCCCCCTCCACCCCCCCAGCCCCAGGACAGCTGTGAGCCTGTTTGGACTCACAGTGTGGGCGGAGGCTCCCACAAGGACTGGTTTCTCACAGCCGCAGGTTTCAGAGGCCTCGAAGGTGTGCAGAGAGACAAGTACAGTCCTGCACTCGGGGCAGGAGTTAAATTCTGAAATAGCTGGAAGTCTTGGCAAAGTAATTACCCCAAATGACCCCTGCCATCAAGTCGGGAAGGACATTGCTTCTTCCTGCCAAAAACAGTAGGACAGACCTCGGGTTCTGCTGTGTGTCCCCTGAACCCGCCATGGTGGCCAGGCCTGGGAACCCTGGTGCCTTCGGGTCCTTTTGGAGGCTGAAAGAGAAAGGACAGATGAGGGTTTCCCCCAGCAGCTGGGCATGTGCTTAGAAAAGTCCGCGCCCATTTCCAGCAAGGACTCCGTGTGGCCTGTCCCTCCCGCCTGCGCAGGTCCGGTGTGCGAGGCCAGCCGAGCAGACAGAGGGCGCAGGCGGGACGCAGGCCTCCCCCGCGCCCGGGGCGCTTGGCAGCTCCGGGGTTCCTTTGCTGCCGGATGGGGCGGGCAGCCTCTCTCTTTCTGGAAAAGGCGTGCTGGGATCTTGGGGTTGTGGTTGGAGAAGACGAGCTGAGAGTCAGAGCCAGTTACTCGCATCCGATTCCTATGCAAGTGGAAAACCCATAGGTAGTTTATGTCGAGGGGTCTGAGGCCCGTGGCAGAGGACTTGAGGCGGCTTCCACCTCCTCGGACCTTGCAGTCTGTGGCATCGTGCAGGCCCCCGTGAAGGTGAGCGGGTGTGCGTTTGTGAGGGAGCGTTCACCCAGCAGCAGGGTCAGAACGGTGCCAGGGCCAAGCCCGCAGCCCAGGCCCACGTGCACAGAGGCTTCCTGCCCCGGGAGCTGGGCGGCACCGCGAGCCTGGCGGGCAGGGCGCAGCCCCGCGGGGGTGGGCAGGGGCAGGCGCGGGTGGGCGGTGGGGAGTGCCAGGCTGCTCTGACCCCCACTCTTGACTTGTGATGCTTTTCAGGAAGAAAGAAAGGTCCCCCCTCCAATACCAAAGAAGCCCCCCAGAGGGAAACTCCCCATCACCAGAGAGAAATCTCTGGACCTGCCGGACAGACAGCGGCAGGAGGCGCGGAGGCGGCTGGCGGCAGCCAAGAGGGCGGCGTCCTTCCGCCAGAGCTCGGCCAGCGAGCGGGCCGACAGCATCGAGATCTACATACCCGAGGCCCAGACGCGGCTCTAGGGCGGGGCCTTAGCCGCGCCGAGCGCCATCCCCTCTTCACTACCGTCTCATTCCTCCAGTGAGTCCGCCCCGCCGTCATGTTTGTGCCATAAACACCCTGGAGCGCCCGGACGTCCGAGCTCGCGGCCACAGCGACTTCTCCCAGACAGCCCGGATGCCCACCCCCCGGGCCAGAGCGGCGTGGGGACCCCTGACGCACCCCTCTGCTCCCAGAGGGGGTCGAGGAAACCGCTCGAGATGGAACCCAGTTCACACTTTCTTATTTATATTTTTATAAATCGTGTGATATTAGAGGCGAGAAAAACAACTGTGAAAGGGTGTGTCTCAGCACTCTCAAGGCATTAGATACCCCAAGAGAAGGTGCTACAGCTTGAGTGCAGGAAAGGAAGACCCCCACCCCGCGGCCTGGGGTCCCTGTGCCCTGAACCCAGCGACCCCTCACATGGTTCCTGTACCAAGTCCATGGTGATGAGGAATCGTCTCTGCAGCCACCAAGCTCCCCGCCTCGCGCTTCTCTCGAAACCTGGAGTGGAAGTCCACCTCTGCGCCCCCAAACTCAGCACAGCATCTCCATGGCCAGAAGTCAGCTGAATATCTGTGCACACAGGGAGAGACATACGGAAACAGAGTCTTAAGAAAGGCTGACTCTTCTGTAGCAGGGGTAGAAAGAGAACACGGTTGTCCTTAATCAGATAAGAGTCGTTTATTTTTTATCCCTTTGTAACTTAAACTATCACCCACGGTTCTGTCTTTAAGTTTCACCCTTTATGCTCCATGTGATTTTTTTTATAGATGTATATATATTCTCAAATGCTCTATCAGTTGACTTTCCAGGGTATCCTTAAAAAACAAAACAAAAAAAGTTTGCTTGTTTAAAATGACAGTTGTAATGCTGTAAAAAGTTTAAGAAATATGAATGTGTGTGGTAAGTATATCTCAGTTTAAATGGTAAAGAAGAAATGTGGTTTACATTGTATTTTTCCAGAATTCTTTTGTCCTATGCAGTACAGGTGAAGTCCAGAACATATTTCTTGCCTGTTTTTGACATGACAAAAAAAAAAAAAAAAAAGGTTACATTGTGATTTCCAGCTGTGGACTTTCAGAAAAGTAATTTGTTTTCATGATTCTGATTGGCACAGAGAAAAATAGGAAGGTCTCTAATGGAAGGTTTTCCATTCATCTCGTTAAATTTAGATGCCGGGACCATTGTTCCAACTGGATGGTTGTGTGTCTGTTGAGACACCACCTCAAAGGAAGCGCCCATGGACTGACCCACTTGACCCCAGACTAGAGTCCTCGCTGTGACTCCAGGTAAAAGCAGGGGCCACAGCGTTTCCGCGGGACGCCGTGTGCCCCAGGAGTGCGGGCCCCCAGCCTGGCAGCACAGACCCCCTCCATAGCACTTTGTTTTCCTGTTTGACTCGCACTTTAAGACACACCGCCCTCCACACCTCGTGCGTGAGAGCTCGGTGACGTCCTTGCACAGGCAGGCGCCTGCCGCCTGCAGCGTTTCTTTTCCTCACAGTCCACATTCCATGAAGCATGGGGTTCGTAGGAGCGCAGGTGATAGCAAAGCATGTTTAGCTTCACAGTTTTACTTTTTTAAAGCTGAGTAGTTAAGAAGTCCCTGTAAGAACAAAACCCTGTAAATGGAACCTCATATCTGGTATATATTTTACCAAACAGCCTTAAAATATATTTGGAAGCAAAAATCAGTACGAATGTATATCCTTGAAAAATGCAAAAAAAAAAAAAAAATCCCTGAAATATTCTTCTATAAATGAGCCCTATCTCCCCAGAGTATTCTAAGCATTTTTTTCTACCTAAATAAATACCTAAATCCTGAGTAGTATACAGTAATGATGCTTCTTCCTATATTTAGTATACTCTGTTAAAGACAAATGTATTTGCAAGCATTAGCATTTTAGACTTTAAACATGATGTGTTATTAAGACGAACAGCTCTCTAGAAATAACCACAGGAAATTGGGTGCGACTCCCCGACAAGGGGAGATGTAAAATGCATACATGCTTGCAGCCTCCTCAGGTGTGCCTCACCTGAAAGCTGATGGGTTTTATCTCATTTCCTTGAACTTGTACAAAATGGCTATCAACCAACTATAAAATTAGACAACAATGATTCTAGATCCCAGATTCTCTGATCCTGACTTAAAAATACTCACTGGATTTGGATTAATGTTTTTATGTTTTGTATACTCTTTTTGTTTAATCTTAACCGCCCCCCCCCCAAAGTCTTGACCTGAACCATCCGTAGGTGAGCAGATTCACCTAAACTAAATTTGACGTCGGTTGTTGGTTGGAGGTGGGGAGCGTGCCCGATCCCCTATTTGATCCACGTTTTTCCAAAGAAGGTTGTGGGGGGTGGGGCGGTGTGCGTGCGGCGGCGTCTGATGGAGTGTCACCGTGTGTGGGACACGACCAAGTGCAATACAGCCATTCTCGTGGTGACATCCCGTCATGAAAGGCAGACGATAAGCCATGTTTACACGTTGTACATGTAAAGAGAAATAAAACTGTTTATAATACTTGTGTTCCTGCATCACACGAACTCTTACAGTCACTCCTACAGACACAGAGCACATAGCTACTCTGTGACCATTTCATCACATTGTGGATGTAATTTAGCAAAAGATGATCTTCAGAATTGAGAATCTGGTTGAAAATGATAACACACCGCATTGTAGGCACATTTGTGATGGAAAGGAAGTGCCACGTTCTCTGTGATCACACACTTCCCTTCCCTGGAGATAACGCCCATAACCATCATAACCAGGTGCCCTTTAGAACCATTTTCCTCACGACCAACACATTGCTGTTGCTGTGCTGACGGCCCTGCATGACTTTCCAAATCAGAACACAAGTATGATAAACAGGGTCCTAGTGTTTAACAAAACCCAGAAAAGGCAAGTCTCACTTGTTCACAAGTGCGCTTTCAATGTAATTCATCTCATACATCTTCATTGGTTATAGTTATCTTTAACATGAGAGCGGTTGTTAGTGACAGTTGTTACCATTGTTTCTCAGCAAATTGATGGGACCGTCCTAGAATGGGGGATGAAGAGTTGAACTGTGGTATGATACCAAAAAATTACATTTTTGTTTAAAAGGAAATGTTGTTGATGTATTCACCTCAAAGTCGATACTAAAGACGTCCAGCATTAAATAGGAAAGTATATGATTAGGAAAAAAGATCAGGCTACATTGACGATTCCCTCTTTAAAGAAAAATAACCACCAAAAATAACCACCACTTGCAGTGACCTTGCAAGTAGAGACTGTCCCTGCTGATGCCTAGAGATAGAAGTGACCAAATTTATGGCCAGAAGACAGCACGATCCAGGGCCCACAGATGTGGGGCTGGGATGTTTCTTTGGGGGTCTGTGCTCCTGTTCAACCCTTCCCAAGTCTGCGTGGGGCAGCCACCTCTCCATCACCTTCACTGGAAGACCCCACATTGCACTTTCACGCAGGTCTTCAGCCAGGTCCAGGATGGACTTTCCTGGGAAGGAAAGGCATGGCGCAGACATCCAGTCCAAGTGCCTGCAGGGGCACCGAGGACAGCTGTTTGGAGCAGCTGCTTGGTTTGGGCCGAAGCATCCGGTGGCGCATAGGAAGCGGGAGAAAGGGGAAGGCCCTGCGAGAAACCCTCTGCCCTCAGCAGTACCTGGGTCCAGTCACAGGGACCGTGAGCGCTCCGAGGAGCATCCCGGGAGACCCAGCCAAGGCTTGAGCTGCTTTGGCTGGAGAGCCTCAGCTCCTCCAGACTCCTGTCCGCTCCCGAAGGCCCCACGTGCAGTCTGGAATCAGTTGCCAGCGCCCAGTCCAGGGGAATGGAGGCCCTGCAAACCTTGGCCACAGGGCAGGGATGTGTCCCACCGAGGGTGCAGAAAGGTGGCCCTGACGGGTCAGCCTGCGGAGGGCATGGGACGTGGGCCTCCCGCCATTCTGAGAAGCGGCACCTTCCTGCCACATGCCCCAATGTCAAGCAGATGGCTCCACACACACCTTTAACCCCACATGTTTCTCAGGCACCTCCTTTCTTCTCAAAGCCTGAACTGCTGAATTTTTTTCTTTTTTTTGCATATTTAACATATGAATCAGGTAGTTGGAGACACTGGTTTTCAAACATCAGCCCCTTGGAACACCTTGAGAGTCTCCTTTGTTTTAATCTGCATATTTGTTTACACTTGTTTGAAAGTTTTGGTTAAAGACACTGTTCCAAAATTCGAAAATAAAATAGAAAACCTCAAATATAAGTGACCGAGACTATAGCTGCTGCTGGTTAGCGGAACATTCTCACCACCGGGGCTAGAGCAATGGGCGTGGCCCTGTCAGCCTCCCCTGCGCTGTCTGTCCTCCACGCGTGGCACGGGGTCACATCAGAGCCCTGCGCCTTCACAGCAAGAGCTCCACTTGACTCCATTGAGAGTTGCAGTAAATGTGGGCAGTGGACACGATGCTGGGAGAGGTGCCCTTCCACACTTGAGGAAGTGCCCTTTAGCACAGAGTGGCTGCAGAGGGTCCTGCAGTCGAAAGAGAAACCCGGGAATCTCCAGTCGGCTGGCGGATCAGCCTGGCTTCTGTTCCTACATCATCCACAGCTTGTCTTGACTCTGTGTTCCCGTCTCTCCTTTTCCTGTGGCCCTCACTGACATTCTGTGAAAGACTGATGGCCCTGACATCTTCTGAGCTGGTTGTGAAAATGTCCCCATTCTTGATAAAGCAGGTCCCACCTGCTCTGTGCGGGATGCATGTGGAGTCCAGTCAGATCCTGAGTACCAGGCTCAGCGGTCCCCTCCTGGGAAGGCTGTCTGGGCCCAGCAGGAGGCGACCACGAGCTTCTTGAGGGCCTGGAAGTGGAGAGAGGCCTGAGGGCCCTTTCTCCGTTTTCTCCGGCTCGGACAGCAAGCGTTTCTGAATGTTTTCCTGAACGAGGGCCAGGCACCCCCCAGAATGAGGCTGTGTTATCACCATTGCTTGGGCACACCTGCATCTCAGGGGAAATGGCAAGGTCTTAAGTGAAACCGGAAAGCGACAAAGAAAAAATAACTTGGAAGCAGAAAACAGCATGTGGGACCGTGCCAGGGACGGAATTAGACGTCCTGACCGGAATCGCCGGAGGCTAGTGAGGGCGCCACCGCCTCGCCCGGCCCTGGCCGCGCGTCCTGACCCCTCTGTACCTCGGAGAAGGCCAGCTGATCCGGGAGAGCTCTCCGAGCAGCCGCCATCTTTTCATCCTTTAAGCCTCGCGAAATCCCCGTGATTTTCCCGGTTGCTGTCGTAACCCTGGCGTTCTGATCCAGCGTTAAGAAGAATTACTTCAAGTTTCAATCTAAACTCTTGGAGCTGACTTCCTTGCAGAGGAAATGTTAGTTACCTACCACAACACTACTTTTTAAAAGATTTTGTATACACACAGACAGAGAGAAACAACAGGGGTTTACCTCCCTACTTTCTTAGATTTTATGTGACTCTTCATCATGGGTGCTTATTCCGAACCTGAAAGCCTTGGCAACGCGCGCTCTCACGTCCTCAGTGAGGAAGGACCGGTCTCTGCAGCGTGTACACGGTTCCGTCTGTCCAGCAGACGAGACGAGAGGTCGGTGTGTGCCGGCAACAGGGAAGCTGGGACCCCCGAGGCGGTTGGTGGCGCCCCTCCTGGAGGCCACGCCCCTGCTCTTCGGTTACCACCCCGCCCCGCCCCCCACGGCCCAGCCCATCGCTTTGCCGTGATCACATCACTTTAAAGGGCTCAGCACGTCAGTCTCTCTCTCCCTTCACTTTACACCTGGTTTACCAAATTCTAAAAGTTTCCCCTCGCCAGTAGTGAACCCCAGGCTACTTTCGAACTCTGATTTCCAAATGCTGTCCCCTCCGTACGGGTCCTCCCTGCCCGGAGAGCAATCCACACGCCCACCCCCCCACGTCACGTGCCAAAACACCCAGCTGTGGCCTAAGGACTAAAGGAAATGCCTCCTACAGAAATTCAAGGGATGTTAGTACCAGGAAACTAGCTGTTTTAGTTAACGTTTTAAAAAAAAGTATATAAATATATATATAGATATATATACATATGGAATCATATCAACCACAGAGCGCCAAATATTCTACATCTGTACAGAATCACTCTTCCCTGGAATTAAACTATTTTAGGAATTCTTTCTCATGCTTTTCTGGTTCTTTTGATAAGTTCTCTTCAGTAGCATGCAGGACACCTACTCTGAATGTACAGGGCGCAGTCCACACCACGCTCTCTTCCTTTTTGTGGATAAGTTCCAATCAGATGTTGGTCATCACTTCAGGGCATTGAAGGATTGTGTTCCTTGGGTTCTTTTCTCTCCTGACTCTTTTTTCACTCTTTCCTGACTTCTAGGATAATGCCTCTCTCATCTGATTTCTGTACTGCTGATGTTCACCTCCTGTAAATAGTTCTGCAATTAAATTTTTCGAGAAAAGGAATGTTTACTTTTCATTGGAGTGAATCCTCGTGTGATTTTTAAACTCAGAATCTTTATATAGACCAAAGAGTTTTATCCAGAAAACTGAACCCTTCCCCTCAGGATATATATTTACTTGTTGGAACAGCGTCAGCTCCTCTATCCGCTGAAAAAAATCGGACGTTTATTAAGGCTACAGGTTTCAAATGTACGCGAAAATGGCACAGATTAAAACGAGTTTCAAACGAATCAATCTGGCGGTACTTAGTCGGTGCTCGTTTTAGGTTCCCTGGAGGGGCAGGAGCAGCGGCGGGCAGGGCGCGGGCGGGTCCGCGGCTCCGCGCGGGGAGGCCGAGGCCCGGAAGGCGGTCCCTCGCCGTCAGCTCTGCGACCAGTGCCTGCCGGCACCCCGCCCCCCACCCCGCCTCCGCGAGCTCCGCCTGGCGCCCCCGGCCCGCGGGCCCCCCGGAGCGCCGACAGCGCTGCCTGAGCTTCCCAGGCCGCCCGCCGGCCTCCCCGCGTCCCCAGGTGAGTCCGCGCGGCGGGGGGAGCGCCTGCGGCCGGATGCGCGGGTCGCGGGCTGTGCGGGGATGAGAACCCCTGCTGAGGTTCGGGGGTTCTGGGCGAGGGGCTGACGGAGAAGCCGGCCCGGTACGGATCCCTGCAGCTCACCTGAGAACGAGCAGGGTGCGAGCGTCTTCAGTTGTGAGACGCCGCTTCTAAATGAGCACCCAGACCTGCTGCTTCAGCCTTCACTCACCCTACTGCCTTCTCTTCTTCCAAGATTAATTTTTATTTGGAGTATAGTTGATTGGCAATGTTGCGTTAGTTTCTGCGTAGAGCAAAGTGAATCAGTTATGCATATGCACGTATGTCCTCTTTGGATTCCATTCTGTTATAGGTCATGGCAGAGTACTGTGTAGAGTTCCCTGTGCTAGACGGTGGGCCCTTATTACCTGCTCTGATTATAGTAGTGTGCATATATCAAGTCCAGTCTCCCAGTTTACCCCTCCCCCATTATGTCTCTGGTAACCATAAGTTTCTTCTCTCCATCTGTGACTCTATTTCTGTTTTGTAAATAAGTTCATTTCTACCGTTTTTTTAGATTCCACATGTAAGCAGTATCATATGACCCTTGTCTTTGTCAGACTTCACTCCAGGGGCATCCATGTTGCTGCAGACGGCGTTCCTTTGTTCTTTTAATGACTGAGTAATGTTGCGCTGTGTATGTACTGCATCTTGCTTACCCATTTGTCTGTGGACAGGCATTTAGACTGCTTCCATGTCTTGGCTATTTTAATAGTGCTGCAGTGAACATTGGGTTACATGTATATTTTCAAATTATGGTTTTCTATGAATATATGTCCAGGAGTGGGTTTGCTAGATCATATGGTAATTCAATTTTTAGTTTTTAGAGGAGCCTCCATACTGTTCTCCATAGTAGCTGTGCCAGTTTACATTCCTGTCAACAGTACAGGAGGGTTCCCTTTATTACACACCCTCTCCAGAGTTGTTTGTTGAATTTTTGATGATGGCTATTCTGACAGGTGTGAGGTGATACCTCATTGTGGTTTTGATTTGCATTTCTCTGATAAATGAGTGATGCTGAGCTTATTTTCATGCGCTTTTTGGTCCTCCTTATGTCTTCTTTGGAGAAATCTCTATTTCGATCTTCTGTGCATTTTTTTTGATTGGGTTTGTTTTTTTTTATATTGAGCTGCATGAGCTGTTGGTATATTCTGGAGATTAATCTCTTGTCGGTCATTTTGTTTGCAAATATTTTCTCCCGACCCCGTTCTGTGGGTTGTCTTTTTGTTTTATGACTTCCTTGGCTGTTCAAAAGCTTTTAAGTTTAATTAGGTCCCATTTGTTTATTTTGTTTTTATTTTCATTACTGTAGGAGGTGGATCAAAAAAGATATTGCTGCTATTTATGTCACAGAGTGTTCTGCCTATATTTTCCTCTAAGAGGTTTATAGTGTCTGGTCTTGCATTTAGGTGTTTAATGCATTTTGAGTTTGTTTTTGTGTGTGGCATTAGGTAATGTTCTATTAATAATTTCATTCTTTTACATGTAGCTGTGCAGTTTTCCCCACACCCTTACTGAAGAGAGTCTCTCCTCCACTGTATCTCTTCACCTCCTTTGTCATAGATTATATCATCACCCTTTCTTTCTAACACACCTAAACAAAAAGAAAGCTTTATACATTTTTCTTTTTTAATCCTATAATCCTTCCATGAAAGCTTTTATTCACTTAGCATTTCATTAAAAACTTTAGCCTTTAGCCACATGTGGTTTAGCAGTTTTCCCAGGGCTCAATTAAAGTGTATGAAAAGTTGTGTGGCATTCATTTTCGATGTGGTGATTATTGGTTCATCAGTTGTGACAGATGTACCACGTCCATGAGGATGTGAGCAGCTGGGGAGCTGGGAGGAGCAGTGAAAAGCTACACGTGAGCTCCTTGCTTTAAACTCCACTGGACTTTTCTGTAAACCAAAATGTTCTCAAAATAGCCTATAAACTAAAGCATGAAAGCAGGAAGCAATGACTCGAAAAGTCAGATGCCACAGTTTGGATGTTTTCAGCTTGTTTTCCATTATTTGAAATTTTAAATGAGTTGCCTTGTGAAAAGTAGAACATTGGAAAGATTTCTGCACCCTTATTTTTGTTTATTTTTGCTTCATGAGCTCTTAAGTTATCATCCCTTAATATGTTCAGATAATTGTTACTTGCTTTGTAATTAAGGCGAAAGGCAGAAAAAGATGCTGTGTCAGGAAAGCAGCGAAGGTTTTCGAAGCTTCAAGCTTCAAGTAACACCCTTGAGTTCCTAGGAGTGCTCCCTAGACTTCTGTGGCGCTTTAGAATCCACTGATGGATTTCCCCCAAACAATTAGAGTCCAGAGCCCATGAAAATCCATTTCCAAACCATCTCATTACACTGCTATGGTCTTCTACGGTTGAGTGTGAAAAATTCAATTTTATACCCACAGCAAGCTGTGCAAAGCCATGATTCAGTGACAGTGCAGAGCATGTTCAAACCACGGGGACTTGGCCCCCAGGGTCCGGCCTGGTGACAGACACCCCGGTGCTGAGAGACCCCCAGGGGCCTCCCCTCTCCAGTCCAGGTCCTCCGGCCCCTTCCCCCTCTGCCCCCCTGGCTCTCCGCATGCAGTCCCTGCAGGAAGCCTCCAGCCTGCTTGGGAGCTGGAGTCCTTCCGGCCCGTGTCAGCACCACATTTCTGCCCTGGGCACCGAGCTGGAGATTCAGTTTAAAAGAGAGAAAGTCATGGACCTGGGCCTTGTGCTCAGCTGCAGGCCACGGATTTTCCTTTGCCAACAGGCTGGCAGCTAGCCTGTTGCTGGTTCGGTGGTGCTGGTCAAATGCGAGGCTTCTGGGTTAGGAAAGCCCGTTACTCCCACACAGGAGATGCGTGGGCACTGGGGTGCCCATCACCACCTTCCGAGGGGCCGTGCGGGGCTGCGGGTGGAGGCTGTGTGTGCGGCGCAGGATGCACAGCTGGGGACAGTGAGTGGGGGGCCTGGGCTCATCAACAGTGCAAAAGGGAAGCCCTGGGCACATAGGAGACCCTGCCTCGCCCTGGAGGCCTTGGACAGCGGGCCGGGACCTGAGTGATGGCCCTGGAAGCGGCAGCGGGCATCGTTGTCTTGGCACACCCGACACAGGGAGGGCGGGGCACGGCTGGTCCCCAGGGCGCCTTCACGCCTGTGAGTGTCCTTCTGAAACAAGACACTCGGTGTACATGCTGAGGTCATTTGGCAACAGGGGGGTT